AATGTATGAATGAACGTACTAACGAACAAACGAACGAACGAACGAACGAACGAACGAACTAACGAACGAACAAACGAACGAACGAACGAACTAACGAACGAACAAACGAACGAACGAATAAATGAATGAACGAATAAACAGATGGATAGATGGATGAATGAACAGATGAGTTGATGAATGGTTAAATAGATACACGCTGAATAGATGGAAGGATAAATGGATGAATAAAGAGATGGATGGATACATGGATGGATAAATGGATAAATTAGCTGATGGACATATGTATAAAACGTTAAAATTTCTCTATCTCTTTTTTTCTCTTTCTTTCTCTCTCTTTTTCTCTTTCTTTCTCTCTCTTTTTCTCTTTCTTTCTCTCTTTCTTTCTCTTATCTCTCTTCTTCTCATTCTCTGTATTTTTTACCTATGATAAATTAAATTGCAATACTTTTTGGTAGTTTTTGTACAAAAAACAAACACAACAAAAATCAAACAAACCCAAAACAAGGTTTGCAGGTCGAAAAATTATTTATTAATTTAACTTCATCTAATTTCACCCTCTTTGGAAAAAATTTTCAAAAATTTTTTAATTTGTTGGATTTGTTTATTTGGAATTTATGTATGTTTGTGTGAGTGCTTCTGTGTGTGTGCGTGTGTGTGTGTGTGTGTGGTGTGTGTATGTATATGTGTGTGTGGTATGTGTATTTGTGTGTGAGTGGAATGTGTTGTTGTGTGTGTGTGTGTACGGGTGCTTTTTTTCCTGAGAAATGTTGATGCATAGAGATGAGATATTAATTTGTTGTCTATAGATAGGGTATCATTTTGCAAGATATAGAGTATCATTTTGCTAGATATAGATAGGGTATCATTTGTTTTCTTTTCCCAGAGCATCAATTTTATAAGCCAGCTGATCATTTATCTTCCAATTCAGCAATCCTTTTAAACTTATTTATGTGTTGAAAAATTATCTGATCTATTTTTTTTTTCATTTTAAAAATTTAGAATAAAATAATAATAACTTTATCGCCATCATCCATTCATTTATTCGTTCGTTCGTTCATTCATTCATTCAATCATTCATCTATTCATTCATCAATTCATTCATCTATTCATCTATCCATCCATTCATTCATTCATTCATCCATCTATCCATTCATTCATTCATTCATCCATCCATTCATTCATCCATTCATCCATCCATTCATTCATCCATTCATCCATCCATCCATTCATTCATTCATTCATTCATTCATTCATTCATTCATTCATTCATTCATTCATTCATTCATTCATTCATTCATTCATTCATTCATTCATTCATTCATTCATTCATTCATTCATTCATTCATTCATTCATTCATTCATCCATTCATCAATCAATCAATCCATTCATTCATTCATTCATTCATTAATCCATCTATCCATTCATTCATTCATCCATCCATTCATTCATCCATTCATCCATCCATTCATTCATTCATTCATTCATTCATTCATTCATTCATCCATTCATCAATCAATCAATCCATTCATTCATCCATCTATCCACCAATTAATTTTCCATTCATCTACTTGTCCATCCATTCATTCATTCATTCATTCATTCATTCATTCATTCATCCATTCATCAATCAATCAATCCATTCATTCATCCATCTATCCACCAATTAATTTTCCATTCATCTACTTGTCCATCCATTCATTCAATCACTCATCCATTTTTTCACCCATCCAAAAACTGACCAATGACAATAACGTGATGTGTGACTCTGGCTAGCGACTGTCCCTTCCTGGTCCGAATCTCGCACGTATAGTTGCCCGTGTCTTCCAGCTGTACATCTATTGTTATTATTATTATTATTATTATTATTTTATACAATTTTTACAAATTTTATTATTGCGCATTATTTAATTAACATTAACTTATATATATATATATATTTTTATCATTGTATGTTTTTATGGTGAAAAATAAAAGATGTTCCCATTGTATTGTCATTGTAATTATAACTATAATTTCTTTCATCGTCATCATCATATTTTTATTATGTATAATTATTCATGAAGTAAAATGATGAACTGACTGAGAACACAGAACCATAAAAGGTTTGTTTCCTTTGCCAGGCTTTAGAATGCTTCTCATTAATAAGAAGCCAGTAGGTCATCTTCTAGTCAGGTGTTTATCAAATAAGCACACGACGCAATGGCGCTGAAACCTGGTTCGACTGCACGCGTAACCAAATTATAAATTTGTGTTGTGTGTATGTGTGTGTGTGTGTGTAAGTGCATGTATGATATGTTGGATAGAAGTGTAGATTTTTACCCAAGACAAATCAAATTCTTGCCAACAAGATTGTAATTATTATCAATTTTATTCTGGCATATAAAAATGCTCCTTCAAGTTTGAATGTGACAAACAACATTAAGGTTAATTATAATCATCTACCTGATAGAATATGATACAAAACTATGGTGCTAACATATAGACTTTTATGCATGCATAGAATCAAGACAAACATACAAACATGTAATGATACGTACAGACACGCAGGCACACAACAGCACGAAGACTCACAGAGACACGTGTGCACACTTCAACGTGTTTTTACTATCTCCAAAATCCATGTTGAAAATTTTAATTGAGGTCATTTTTTTTCGATCATGTATTTCAACCTTCCACTCAAACGCACAATTTAAAAAAAGATTATTGTACAAGTTTTAAAAATTTTCAAATTACCCAGAAAAAAAAAACAATCAAAATCCACACAAACCTTCATTCGCTCTTTCGTTCACTTACTCACTCACACACACACACACAAATCGAACGAAGACATAAAAGCAAATATTGTTACGCATACAAGCACGCATACTAACACACTCACATACACACACACGCGCGTACACGCGCACATAAAAAAATACACGCATATGCACATAGATAAGCTAACGTAAAATATTGTACTGGAAAGTTTTTTAACTATGCATACACATGGTATTATATAAACAAGTATATACACACATATATATTACACATCTACATATATCCATACACACATAAACACACTTACACACACACACACACACACACATACACATACAAAAACACACACACACATATATACATATAGACACAATAACGCAAAAAAATCTATTGGACTATCTTCCAACTATACTTGAAATTATCTTTCCTAGACATTCACTAGCAGAGCTTGGATGCTGCTTTGTTTTCATATTTTTTTTTTCTTGTTTATTAATGGACAATGATGATGATGACGATGATGACGATGACGACGATGATGATGAAAAAGACACTGATTGTGGTTACGGTGGCTATGATGATATGAGTGAGGAAGTTGATGGCGCTGAAAAAGATGACGCAGTTAACGATGAATGTGATGATGATGAATGTGATGATGATGAATGTGATGAAGACGACGACTATGATGATGGCGGTAATGATGAAAATCCGGCAGGTATAGTGATAAAGATGGTAATGTTAGCGAAAATAGGTAGAGGCAGAATGTAGAAAAGATTAATACAGATGATAAAGGCATGACAACATGGGAATGCTAACTGGTGGAGGGATTATTGAAAAGTATTATTGTGTTGGTGATGCAGATGATGTTGATGATGCGGCCAACCATTAAATCACTGTGTCAGTCCTCCCAACGTGTTGTTGGGTGAAGTTTTTTCATATGGAAAATACAAAAACGTCTATGGCTTGTGGTGATGCAATTTTTAGAAAATTTTCAAGGCCGTTGCGAAATTTCCTGCAATAATTGTGTGTCAAGCCTAAATTAGTTTTCTTTCGCAGCAGATTAATCGCCTATGGAGGTTTTAGCATGCATTGGGCTATTAATAGATTACACACATTACACACCACACACACACACTCACACACTCACAAACACACACATGTATGTAGAAAAACATATAAATAAATTTTACACAAACTTGCATGTATACAATAAGATGTATATGATATACAAATATATATGTGCTATACATAGATTTATAAGATATACAAAGATATATGTGTAATGCATAGATATGTGACATGATATATAAAGATATATATGAAATAAAAAGATATATATAAAATACAAAGATTGTATATATGATATACAAAGATATATATGATATACAAAGATATATATGATATACAAAGCATCTCTATAGCATGAGAAAATTGCTTAATGTTTGTCATTTGCATGCTAATGTGCACAGAACTGGGTATGACGTTTTGCATGATAATAAAAATTTATGCCTCCAATCATATACATTTACACGTGCACTATCAGACACGCACGTATTTGTATCCGTATGTTTGTATATGTTTTTATATGTTTGTATATGTCTGTATATATTGTATACATATGTATATATACTTCAATGGGTGTTTGTCTAAACATATGTATGTATACTTAATTAAAAACTTGTTTAATCAATCGTCTAATTATACGGACACACACACACACACAAACACACACAAACACACACACACACACACACAAACACAAACACACACATTCACAAACACACACACACAAACATAAACACACACATACACAAACACACACACATACACACATACAGACAGACATACACACACATACACAAACACACACACATACACAAACAGACATACATACTAACTTAACAGATGAACACCTTATTGCTTAACCGTTGCTAATGAACTGTGAATCTCATTTTAAAACTGCTCTTATGGCGTCATTTTACAATAATAGTAACAATGAATCACCGGTTTATCAGAAAAAAATTGATATGCATAGTTCACTCTTTCTTTTTTTTATTATTTTTTCCACCTAAACATCCTAAACTGTCATTTCTCTACTAAATTTTAAACATTTTAAAATTATTTTAATTCTGCTTTTTTTTCATTTTAAAAAAGCTAAGATAATCGTTATCTTTTGATTAATGTATTAATAATTTTATTTGATGGTGACAAATTTTTGATGTAATGTGAAAATTAAAAAAAATGACCTAATTTTTTAAATTCGTTCGTTAGTGTTTTAAAAAACTTTATGTAGGAAATATAGGAAAGTAGCCCACAAAACACCCATTAATTTGAAAAATTTTTTCCAATTTTTTTTCAATTTATTCAAAAAATAATTTAACTTTTTCTAATTATTCCAAAAAAAAATTAAACTCAATTATTTATAA